GGGCGCGGCCGCGCGTCGCGGCGCCGGTCGCGCGCGGCGGCCGCGGCCGCGTCCGCCGCGGCGGCCGCGGCGCGCGCGCGCGCGGCCGCGTCGCGCGGCGGGGCGGTCACGTCCGGCGCCTTGCCGCGCACGTCCGGCGGCTTGACGCGGCCCCGGCCGTCGGCGTCCGTGGCGAAGGAGAAGCGGCCCGACGCGTACGTCGTCTCGCGGCGCGTCCGCCGGAGGAGCAGGTCGCCCTTCGCGCTTTCGCGCGCGCGCGGCGTCGCCCTCGTCGCGCCGTCGTGCATGGACACGCGCAGGGCGTACTGCGCGTCGGACTCGGACGGGTGGCGCGCGGGCTCGAGGCGCGCGTCGTCGAGCGCGCGCGGGTTCGACCGCTTGAGGTCGCGGCGCGCTTTCGCCGTCTCCGCGGCGGCGGACCGCGCCGCGGCCGCGCGGCCGCGCGCGCGCGCCTGCTCCCACTGGCTCAGGCAGAGGAGGGTGCAGTAGGGCGTGTCCATGGCCCCGCCGCAGCGGCCATTGCACCAGACGAGGCGCTCCTCCTGCGTCCGCGCGAACCGGGCCGCGACGTCGATCTCTTCGTCCTCTTCTTCCAGCGGGCCGTCCGCGGCCGCCGGCGGCACGCTCCGCCGGTCGCCCCGGGGCGCGTAGGGCGTCGTCGCGAGCATCATCATGGAGAAGAGCTGGACGGCGTCCCGGAAGAGCGCCGCGGACGTCTCGGGCGGCGGCGGCGCGGGCGCGGCCGCGCCGCCGCGCGGCGCGGGCTCCTCGCCGCCGCTCTGGACCTGGTAGTAGTAGTTGGAGAACATCTGCGTCTCGACGAAGCGCGCGATGAAGTCGAGGCCCGCGTCGCCCAGCGGCTCGTACCACCACTGCTTCCGCGCGGCCGTCGACGGCGACAGGAGCCGCGACGGGTGCGGCGACGACGCGTGCGCCGCGACGACGCCGGACAGCGTGTGCCGCCGCGGGGCGCCGCCGGCCCCGGCCTCGTCGCCCTCCGGCATCTCCGGCGGCGGCGTCGCCGCGCGCGCGTCGGCCCTGGCCGTCAGGCTCGACACCTCGAGGTCCTCGGGCGACGCCGCGGGCGCCTCGCGCGGCGCGCGGCCGCGCTCGGCCTCGCGCTCGCCCCGGAGCTTGAGGGCCGTCGCGAGGAGCATCTTCAGGTGGCCGTGGACGCGGTCGACGATGGCGTCGAGCGCGCGCGCCGCGGACCGCGTCGGCCGGCCGCGCCACGCGGGCGACGGGAGCCGCGCCGCCGCCGCGGCGTCGTCGTCGTCGGCCGCGGCGCCGCCGCTCTCCTCGGAGCTCTCGCCGTCGGAGAAGGCGGACCGGTCGTCGTCGTCGCCGCCGTCGCCGAGGCCCCCGCGGATGTCGTCCGTGAGGAGCGTCGGCAGCGCCGCGTTGGAGACGTTCGCGAGCGAGCCCGCGCGCTTCGCCGGCGACGGCCGCCGCGGCCGCGCCTCGGCCGCGCCGGGCCCGTCGACGAGCAGGGGCCGCAGCGCGTCGTAGTGGGACGCGAGGTCGTGGCGCAGCTGGCTCAGCCGCGGCAGCTGGATGGCGAGGTGCGCGCCGGGGTCCGCCAGGAGCTTCGGCGGCAGCCGCACGCGGTCCTCGTCCGCGAAGACCTGGGCGGCACGCGGGTGATTCAACGCGAGCAATCCGCGCGCGCTCGGTCAAAGAAACAACATCCACGCTTCGAGAGCGCTCCGGGAGATGGTCGCTCGTCCAAAGATCAGCCGACACGAGTGGAAAACGGCCGAGAGAGGAGCTTTTGAAGTCGGGCGCCCTTTCGCGGCCCCGGCGGCGACGAGGACCATGTCCGGCCCCTGCTCGAAGTGGAGGGGCAGGGAGACGACGCCGAGGATGAGGGGCACGGGCGAGTCGAGGTACTCGTAGAGCTCGCTCGGCAGCGTGGAGATGAGCGGGCCCGCCCAGCGGAGCGGCCGGAGCAGCGACACGAGCGCGAGCGCGGACGCGGACAGCGTCTGGAGGTCCTGGGACACGAAGACGATCTGGAGCTCGACGAGGGCGCAGCCGAGCACGAGAAGCACGTTCTCGAGCGTGAGCTTGCTCAGCATGACGGGCACGGACCACTCGCGCGCGAGCGCCGTCGCCTCGTCGCCGGGCGCGGTGTCGCGGCGCCGCCTCGACGAGTGCTTGCCCCGCCCCGGCGGCCGCGTCCACTCCACGGCCGAGGGCGGGTCCGCGCGCGCGCAGCGGAAGAGGACGCGGCCGCCCGGGGGCGGGACCGGCAGCGCCGCGTAGTCGCGGAGCGTGAGGTTCGCGGCCGCGTAGCGGCGCCTGTGTGGAAATCAAATCTTCAACCCGACTTCAATGTGCGCGTAATCGACCGTTTCGACGCGAGGTTTTCTGCTGTGCTTCGAGAACTCGACGAGAGCAATCGATTCGTTCAAAAATCAGCCAAATCGACTTCGATTTGACCGAGCTAGAGAATTCTGAAGTTTGGCCCCGACGTCCCCGCTCACTGGTTGATTTCCACACAGAGCGGCGCCCGCGGTGCCGCCGGTGGTCGTCGTCGCCGCGGCCGACGGCCCGCGCCGCGCGCGACGCCGCGACCTCGGCGGCGATGGCCGCGCGCAGGACCTGGAAGTGGAGCGCGACGAAGGGGTACCGCGTGATGAGGCAGTAGCACACGTCGGCCTCGACCAAGTCGTAGCCCGCGCGGCCCTTGTCCACGGCCTCGTAGAAGCGCGTCGTGTGGGCGCAGAGGCCGTACTGGACGCGGCTCCCGTCGCGGCCGCCGCCGCTCAGCACGAAGATGACCTCCGTGACGTCGCGGTCGCCGTTGAGCGCGCCGGGCGACCGCGGCTCGCCGCGGTCCGACGCGCGCGCGGCGCCGCGCACGGCCGCGCCCACGGGCAGGCAGAAGTCGGCGATGGCCTCGGCGCCCAGGAACTCGTCCGTCGACGACAGGTGGTGCAGGACCTTGGGGCTGTAGCGCGCGCCGATGGCGACGTCCGGGTGCTCGACGAGCCGGCTCGGGAGGCCGACGACGATGAAGTGGTCGTAGAGCTTCTCGCCGCCGCCGTCGGCCGCCGCCGGCGCCGACGCGGGCGGCGCCGGCGGCGCCGCGTCCCCGGCCTCGTCGAGGGGCAGCGCGCGCGCGACGCCGTCGCCCGCGGGGCTCACCTCCGCGCCCTCGGAGCTCCGCAGCTCCGCGGCGAAGACGGGCGCCTCGAGCGGCGGGAACCGCGCCGGCGCCGGCGCCGGCGCCGGCGCCCGCGCCGCCTCGTCCCGCTCCGCCCGCTGCGCCTCGACGGGCAGCGGCGCCCGCCGCGGCGCGCGCGGCGACGACAGGTCGCCCTGCAGGACGCGGTAGGCGCGGCGCCGCGACGCCAGCGCCGCGATGCGCTCCTCGCGCCAGCGCTTCAGCTCCTCGCGGCCCTGGCGCTGCTGCGCTTCCGGCGGCACGTCGCGCGTCGTCGTCGGCATAATTCACTCGAAGCTAGCAGCCATCGTAAACCGATTTATACAATGCATGGCATGTTGAAGAACATTATGGGCAGCATGTGGGCTCCCCTGCTCACCCTCGGCGCGCTGGCCCGCGCGGCGGACACGAAGCCGCATCTGCTCTTCGTGCTCGGAGACGACGTCGGCTTCGGCGACGTCGGCTACAGCTCGCCGGATGTGATTTCGCCGACGCTCGACCGGCTGGCGGCGGAGGGGCTCAAGCTCGGCAGGCACTATGCCTACATGTGGTGCGCGCCGTCGAGAGTGCGTGCCGGCGTCCCGCGGCCATGGCGATCTTCGAAGATGTTCGTAGGCCGCTTTGTTGACCGGCTATTATCCGTCGACGACGGGCGTCTACTCCACGTCGGGCGCGCAGAACGCGCTGCCGCTCGAGTTCGCGCTGCTGCCGGGGCTGCTCAGGGACCGCGCGGGCTACCGCACGGCCGCGGTCGGCAAGTGGCACCTCGGGTTCATGAGCGAGGCGGACCTGCCGGAGCGCCGCGGCTTCGACGGCTTCTTCGGCTTCCTCGACGGCGGCGAGGACCACTACTCGCGCGTCGGCGCGGGCGCGCCGGGCTGCGACCGGGTCTTCGATCTCTGGGACAGCCGGCGGCGCGGACCCGCGACGGACGACCCGAGCGCCTTCGGGCGCTACAGCGCGGAGCTCTACGGCGAGGCCGCGGCGGACGCGATTCGGGGCCACGACGCCGCGGAGCCGCTGTTCCTCTACGCGGCGTTCCAGGTCGCGCACTCGCCGCTCGAAGTGCCCCCGGCGAAGTATTTCGACGCCTACGCGGACGCGGCGCTCTGCGCGAACGCGTCGACCAAGGGCTTCGCGTGCGCGCGGCCGGGCGCCGACGCGCCGTACCGCGCGCCGAACCACGACTGCGGGTGCGATCGCTTGGTCGTGGCCGCGATGGTCAGTCTCCTTTGTTGACCTTCACCTTGTACTTCAATATGCTTTCTTTATCTCAGGTCACGGCGCTCGACGCCGCCGTCGCCAACATGACGACCGCGCTGGCGTCGAAAAATATGGCGGACTTCGTGCTCGTCTACAGCGGCGACAACGGCGGACCGGAGATCGAGGGCCACTGGAACGGCGGACTCCGGGGCGGCAAGTGGACCTGGTTCGAGGGCGGCGTGCGGCCCGCGGCGTTCGTGCACTCGCCCTTGCTGACCCGGAGGGGCTGGCACAACGGCACGCTCCACCTCGTGGACTGGCTCCCGACGTTCCTCGCGCTCGCCGGCGCGGCCCGCGACGACGACGCGTTCGACGGCGCCGACCAGTGGGCGTCGCTCGCTTTCGGGGCGGCGCCCGCGCGGGAGGCCACGCTCATCGGTCCGGGCGTGCTCGTCCAGGGAAACTACAAGCTGTACGCGGTGCCGCCCGCCGGCTTCGGCGAGTGCTCGGTGTTCAACACGGCGACCTGGGACTGCACGCTCGGGCGGCGCGGGCAGCCGCTGGCCGCGCCCGCGGACGTCAAAGCGGACGGCAACGCGTCTCGGTGCCCGCGGCTCCAGTGCTCGGCCGGCCCCTTCGACGACCCCGCGGACGCGTGGCTCTGCTCCGCGCCCTGCTCGCTCGACAAGCCCTGCCTCTACGACGTCGTCTCCGATCCCGCCGAGGCGCGCGACGTCGCGTCTCGGTTCCCGGACGTCGTCGCGGCCATGGCCGCGGCGCTCCGAAACCACACGATCCGGCCGCCCTACCCGATCGTCCCGGACACCAACGGGTCCCGGTGCCGGGCGTGGAACGGCACGTGGGGCGGCTTCCTCGGGCCCTGGCTGGGGCGCAGGGTAGCGATGCGACCTCAAATCGCCCCCCGACGCCCGGTGAAATCTTCTGTCCGCGGCTTTGATTAATTCGATGTGCCGGGATTACCTACTCTATACGTAACGAACGGCGCGCGCGCGTGCGTGCAAAATGGACGGGAAATGCCAGTGGTCCAATTTCCTTGAAAGTCGACAAAATTGCGAGCCGAAAGACGAGAATCACCCGGCTTTGATGCTTCTTGAATACCCGGGACTGCGAAACCCAAATGTAGACGTGTTTTTTTGGGCCCCTGCCAGGTAAGAAATTTTTCGTTTCTTCAACTTGAAATTCAACAAAAATTTGATTTCCCCACATTCTTTGATTTATTGGCCCTGTGGACCGAGGGGGTTGACCGCCGGTATGCCTGGTAGTATGCGCCTACTATGCGGGTTTTATGCGGGTTTTATGCGGGTGGTATGCGGGTTTTATGCGGGTTTTATGCGGGTGGTATGCGGCTGCTATGCTGGTCGTATGCGGGTGGTATGCGGGTGGTATGCGGGTGGTATGCGGGTGGTATGCGGGTGGTATGCGGGTGGTATGCGGGTGGTATGCGGGTTTTATGCGGGTCGTATGCGGGTTGTATGCGGCTGCTATGCTGGTGGTATGCGCCTGCTATGCGGCGACCTCCGGCGGCCGTCGCCTGGGGTCGTCGACAGCGGTCGCCGGGCTGCTATGCTGGTGGTATGCGCCTGCTATGCTGGTCTTATGCGCCTGCTATGCGTCTGCTATGCGCCTACTATGCGTCTACTATGCGTCTACTATGCGTCTACTATGCGCCTGCTATGCGTCTACCATGCGCCTGCTATGCGCCTGCTATGCGGGTGGTATGCGGCTGCTATGCGTCCGCTATGCGTCCGCTATGCGTCCGCTATGCGGCTGCTATGCGGCTGCTATGCCGGTGTATGCCCGGCTGGTGTATGCCTGGTGGTCGGCCCCCTCTGCCTGTGGAGCCGTTCCCCGGTGAATTTCAGAGCCGGAACGCGACCCAGCCTGGGGGCGATCTCCTAATTCTCAGGCCGCCGAGCGCGCCGCGATGGGGAAGGTCTTTCGGGTGTCCACTCGAATCTACCTTCTAATTTTTAGGCCTCTGAACGCGCCGCGATGCGTCGGTCGCTTCGCCCGGTTGCGCGAAGCGACGTCATGGCGCGGGGCGGTCGGATTGGCCTCTGCTTCGTAGTCTAGACTACTTGTTCGCGATCCTCTTGACGTCGGCGTCCACCGGCACGTCGGGACCCTTGCCGTCGAAGCGGCTGAAGAGCTTCCCGTTGCCGTCGCGACCGAAGACCATCTTGTAAAAAACGCCCGTGCCGCGGACGACCTACGCATTAACGACTGAACCGTGCGCACGCCCGTCGCCGGACACGCCGCGCGCGACCTTCGGCTTGCCGCTCATAAGAGCCGGCGCGGCCGCGACCGTCTCGCCGAGCGTGCAAATGGATCAGACAATGGGCATGATGTTTCAGGTGTGTCTTCTAGAGCTTTGGCGTCCGCGGTTGCAGCACGAGCGCGGCGGTGCTTGGCAAGATCGGCAGGACGACGACTGACGCACTGAACTGACAACAGCAGGAGCGCACGACGACGGGACGAGGCGTGATGCCACGGCAGCAGTCGGGCTCGACGGCATCACAGCGGCACCGTCGCCGAATTGACGCAACGATGGCGCTTAGATTGCTCGCCCTGCGCGCGCCGCGCGCGACGCTGCTCCGCGTCAACGCCCGCCGCTGCTTCGCCGACGGCGGCGAAGCGCTCCACGCGCGCGCCTTGGAGGCGCTCGACTGGGGCGCTCCCAAGGAGGCCGTGCTCCACCTCTTCGAGCAGGCCGCCGCCGAGGACCACGCCGAGGCCAAGTTCTTCCTGGGCCTGGGCAAGGCGGGCCTCCTGGACCACGAGGAGGAGCGCGAGGAGCAGCACATCGACCTGCCGGGCGCCGTCGCGCACTACCGGGCCGCCGCGGCCGGCGGGTGCGCGCCGGCGATGTTCAACCTCGCGCTGGCGTTGAAGGACGGCGCGGGCGTCGACGCGGACGTCGCCGAGGCGAAGCACTGGTACGAGCGCGCCGCGGCCGAGGGCGACCCGCGCGGCGCCTTCTCGCTGGGCCTCTTCGCGGACCCGCTCCACCCCGAGGCGACGCTCGGCGACGCCAAGGACGGCGACGCGGCCGTCGCCTGGTACCGCGAGGCCTTCGACGCCGGCCACCACAAGGCCGGCGTCAACCTCGGCATCCTCCACTGGCACCCGGAGTCCGTCGCGCTCGCGAAGATGCCCGAGGCCGAGCGGCGGAGGATCGCCGTGGAGCTGTGGACCAAGGCCGCGGAGGCCGACGTCCCCGAGGCGCGGGACTGCCTGCGCCAGGCCCAGGACGTGTGGAAGGCCTAATCGCCATCGCCATCTTAGTCCGCGACGCCGACGCGGTCGAGGCCGAAGTAGCGCACGAAGTCGCCGTTGGAGCCGAGGCGCGCGTAGGGCGGCTCGACGCGCTCGCTGTCGGGCACGGCGAAGGACCAGCGGCGCCCGAAGTCGTCGACGAGGGAAAAGGCGCGCGTCCGGTCGCCGGCCACGGTGCGGTGGCCGAAGTCGCCGAGCAGGTCCGCGGTGCCGTCGTCGCAGACGTCGAGCGCCGGGCACCGCCGCTTCACCTCGGCGCAGGTCGTGAGGAGCGGGTCCTCGTGTTCCTCGGGCCGCAGCGCCGGCGCCGTCCGGTTCGGGTAGCCGCGCGCCGCGGCGTAGTCGAGCCGGAATATTTCGTCGTCGTAGGGCCGCTTCGCGGTCGGCGCGCCGGCGGCGTCGCGCGGCGCCCGGAGGCAGTCCCGGGACGCCGCGACCTGGAGCAGGGCGTGCCAGAGCGCGAGCTGGTCCTTGAAGCCGCAGCGGTTCCCGAGCCAGCGGCCGAGGATCTCGAAGCTCAGCTCCTCGCGCGCGTCGACGTAGAACCGCATGGACTTGGTCTGCCAGAAGCCGCCGCCCGCGCTCCGGGACCACCACGCGGGCCGCGGCTGTCGGAACGACGGCTCCGGCGCCCCCCGCTTCCGCGCGTCGAACCACTTCGCCCAGGCGGCGTCGGACCAGCGGAGCCGCCGCCGGCCGCCGGGCACCGGCGAGAAGACGGCGAGCGGCGCCGCGCGCCGCGCGGCGGCGACGATCGCGGGCCGCGGCGCCATGGCGTCCATGTCCACGTAGGCGACGCCCGTCACGCCCGGCCGGTCCAGCAGCGCGTAGGCCGCGACGACCTTGACGAGGTGGTTCGAGTTCGCGCGCGTCGCGTCGCCGACGTAGAGCGAGTCCGACGCCTTGACGCGGACCGTCCCGAGCGACGCCGGGCGCCGCGCGCAGGCGGCCCCGACCGTGGTCGCGAGGGCGTCGTCGAGGTCGCCGAGCCAGAGCGACCAGTCGAGCCGCGCGGCGGAGAAATACGCGACCTTGTTCACGAACGCCGCCCACTCCCGGAAGAGGTAGGCCAGGGAGCTCGCGGCGACGAGGCCGACGACGCCGGCCTGCCGCGGCGGGCCCGAGACGCCGTAGGCGCAGAGCGACGGCATCGCGAGGCTCGCCGGGTCGTCGCGGACGCCGCGGAACGTGCGCCACCCCTGGCGCGTGCCCTCGACGACGACGAGCGTCCGCGGCAGTTTGCCCTCGAAGCCCGTCGCCGCGACCTCGACGCGGCACGCGACGTCGACGGGGCCGACCTTCGCCAGGGAGTTTTTGCAGAACGGGCGGCGGTGGTGGGGGCACCGCGTCTCTTTCGCTTGTTGTGATTTCGCGATGCGCCAGCGATGGGTATAATTGGCGAGGGCCTCGTCCGTGACTTGGGCCGCCGCCGCCGCCACAGCGACGAAGGCGACGAGGCGTCGGGCGTCGCGAGCCATCGGCCTCGACGGCGCGCGGTCTACCGCCACGACTGAGCACACGAGTCGAAGTACGTCGCCAAGCGATTTGCCACTCGCAAAACCGCCGAGGACTCCGCGGCCTACGCCGCCGACGATGTGGAGGAGTCGCATTTAGGCAAAAATCCGCCGACCCGCGAACGAAAAACTCCATTACCCGCGCGCCTCGCCGTCAGCCGCAGATGCAGTCGACCTTGCGGCAGAACTCGCAGACCTTGGCCTCGAGGAGGTGGGCCTGGCCCGCGCAGTAGGTCTTGTGGCGGACGCGCCAGTCCTTGGCCTGGCACTCCTTGGAGCAGTAGCGCATGACCTTGCACTTGGAGCAGCGCGCCATGGCCTTGAGGGGCGCCTTGGGCGTCACGCGGTAGCAGTTGCCGCAGCGGAGGTCGTGCTTGCACTTCTTGGCCTTGACGACGTAGTCGCGCCACGCGGTGACGTGCTCCCAGGCGTACTTGACCTCGTCGAGGTCGTCGTCCCATTTCGCGTTCTGGACGATGCCGCCCTCGATGTAGTAGGGCAGCGGCGGCCAGGCCTCGGCGTCCTTGGGCGCGACGCCCTCGAGGAGCGACGCCGACTCCTTCTTGTGCTTCTCGATCTCCTTCTCGTACTGGCGCTCGCGGGCCGTGCGCCGGAGGCGCTCCGTGTCGCTCTCGAACTTCTGGGGCTTGCCGATGACGCCGCCCAGGGGCACGCCCGCGGCCTGCGGGTTCGGGCAGTAGTCCGGGTCCTGCCACGGGTCCGCCGCGCGGACGGCCCGCCGCCGCGCGAGCTCGGCCTCCCACTCCTCCTTGCTGTTGAAGGACATCTTCACCTCCTCGGGGTTCGTGCTGATGGGGAAGACCTTGGGCTGCCGGTCGCTGTCGGTGTCCAGCGCCTGCTCCATGGTCGAGTTCATGGCTTTCTAGTCGATGGGCGGCGCCGAGGACCGGCGGAACGGGTTCGTACGCGCGACTCGCGCGTCGCGGACGGCCGACGCCGCACGGCCGGCCTCGCGCACGAGCTGACGCGCACTGTGCGGCGCGGCGCAGGCCTCTTTGGCTGCCACAGACGAGCTCGCTTCGGCAGCTGCAACACGTCGTCAACGCGCCCTTCAAGCCAGCCGAGCCGGCGCTGACGCGCACTGCACGGTGTGGCGCGGCGAGGTAGAGCGGCGAGGGACGCCTCTTTGCCACACATCGCGCCTCGGCAGCGGCTATACCTCGTCAATGAGCGAGGCCAGTAACATATCCCGCCGGCAGGAAAAGACCGCACTCGCTTAGATCACCGGCACGTCGGCGCCGTACATGTGGGCGTGGGCCGGGTCGATGCGGCGGAGGTCGGCGTGGAGCCGCGCGACCTCGACGTGCGTCGCCGCGCGCGGCGTCCGCAGGAGCAGCCGCAGGAGCGCGAGCGCGGGCCACTTGGAGCCCGGCTCGAGGTCCCGGAGCTCGCGGAGCGTCGCGATCTCCGCGTCGACGAGGTCCGCCTCGGCCTCGCAGCGGCGGAGCACGTCCGCGTGGTACCACCACGCCGACTGGTCGTCGGGCTCGCAGAAGAGGGCCTGCCTCGCGACGTCGAGTTCGCGGCGCGCGGTCTCGCGGTCGAGCGTCCGCGGGAGGTGCGCCGCGAGCTCGTGGAAGGCGCTGTAGTTGGAGAAGTTCGCGTCGAGGCGGCCCCGCGCGTACGCCAGCACGTCCGCCGGCGACTCGCCGGCCAGTCGGGACACGTCGCGGCGGTAGTTCCAGCAGTGGAAGTTGCGCTCGTCGAGCTTCAAAAATTCCGCGCAGAGCTCGAGCTCGGCCGGCGCGCGCGCGGGCTCGCGGCGGACCGCCCACAGACGGTGGTACCAGCTGCCGTAGGATTTCGGCTGCTTCTTCAGGCACGCCGCCGTCAGCGCGAGCTCCGGGCCGACCGCGACGGCGCCGCCGTCGCCCGCGCGCGCGAGGAGCATCTCCTTCCGGAAGTTCCACAGCGTGTGCACGTCGGGATTGACCGTCAAGAGCTTCTCGACGACGGCGAACGTCGCGTCGTCGTGCTTTTTGGCCGCCTTGGCCGCCAGCGCGATGGCGCTGAGCTTGCGGTAGTTCGCCGCCTTTTTCGCGAGGGCGGCGACGGCCTCGGCCGACGGCGGCTGCGTCTGCTTCTTGCGGCCGTGCATCGCTGCGTTTCTTGGAGTACCGCGGCGCGGACCGCGTCGAGCCGGCGTCGCTCGCGGGCGTCCGGAGAGCTCTCTGGCAGGGGTTCAAGGAGCAATGCAACAACTCACCTTGCCTTGAACGATGGCGTCGTCTCGGTCGTTCTCAGCGTTGCTAGCCCTCGCTCTTTGTGCAACAACATCGGCGCTCGTGCACACATCACCACAAAACCGTCGACTCTCCGGCCGGCGCGCCGCGCAGCCCGAGCGCTGGTCCTGGAGCGGCCCCGTGGTCCCGCCGCCCAAAACCTCGCTCCTCACGCCGCTCGATAAAGAATTCTTCGGAATCGCGGGTCCGGCCGTCGTGCAGTTCGCCGCGGAGCCCGTGGCGCGCCTCGTCGACACGGCCTACATGGGCCGCCTCGGCGCCGCGGCGCTCGGCGGCGCGGGCGCGGCGGTCGCGGCGCAGTACGCGCTGGGCAAGCTGTCCAACGACCCGCTCCTGCGCACGTCCATCAGCCTCGTCGCCGCCGAGGGCGGGGACGCGAGCGGCGCGTCCGTCGCCGCGGCGCTCGCGCTCGCGTCGGGCGTCGGGCTGATCCAGTGCGTCGGCACGCTCGCGGCCGCGCCGTTCCTGTTGAGCACGGTCTGCGGCGTGAGCGCCGCGTCGCCCATGTACGGCCACGCCCTGGGCTACCTGCGCATCGCGGCGCTCGGCGCGCCGACGGCGACGATCTGGCTCGTGACGAACGGCATCTTCCGGGGCCTCGGCGACACGGCGACGCCGCTGCGCTGGGCGCTCGCGTTCACGGCCATGAACGCGGTCTTCGACCCGATCTTCATCTTCCCGTTGAAATTCGGCGCCGCGGGCGCCGCGCTGGGCACCGCGCTCGCGCAGACGCTCGCGCTCTACCCCCTGCTGGCGGCGCTCGCGCGGCGCACGGGAAAGGCGTCCGTGCCGGATTTGTTCCGCTGCGACCGCGCGCTCCTGCTCGGGAGCCTCAGGAGCTACGCCAAGGCGGGGTCCCTCGTGCTGGTGCGGACCCTCGGCAAGATCTCGGCCTACTCGGTCTGCGCGCGCGAGGCGGCGAAGCTCGGCGCCGTCGCGTCGGCGGCGCACATCGTCTGCTTCACGCTCGGCGTCGCGACGACGCAGCTCTGCGAGGCCGCCGCCGTCGCGACGCAGTCGCTCCTGGCCCGCGAGTTCTTCGCGTCGAAGACGTCCAGGGCGAACGCGCGGCGCCTCGTGGCTTTAGGCCTCGGCGTCGGCGCGACGATCTCGACGTCGCTCGCGGCGCTGACCTTCGCGAACCGCAAGGCCGTCGTCGCGGGGCTGACGACGGACCCGGCCGTGCGCGCGGCCTGCCTCACGGTCTTCCCCCTCGTCATGGCCTGCCAGGCGCTCAAGGGGTTGGCGTACCCCGTGAACGGGTGCCTCATGGGCGCGCTCGACTGGTCCGCGGCGTCGGCGACGATGTGGCTCTCGAACGGCGCCTGCGCGCTCTCGCTGCTCCGCCCGACGCCGACGTCCCTCGTCAAGCTCTGGGAGGGCTTCGCCTGCCTCTTCGCCGTGCAGTGCGCCGCGGGCCTCGCGCGCGTCGCGTCGCGGACGGGGCCCTTCGCGCGGCTCAAGGGCGACGGCCGGGCGCCGGCGAGGTAGGGCTAACTTCCCCCTAGGCCTTACTGTAGAGGTGGATGGACCCGAGGACGGCGGCGGCGCCGGCGACGAAGGTCGGCGAGACGTGGAAGTCGAGGAAGAGGTGGCTCGCGAGGACGGAGATGACCATGGAGCCGCCCGTCGCGAAGCCCTTGAGGAGGTTGTCCGCGTAGGCGATGACGGCGGCCGTGCAGAGGCCGCCGCCGGCCTGGAGGACGACGGTGCACCAGACGATGGGCGAGAAGCCCGCGAGGGCGCCGCGGGCGCGGATCGCGTCGCCGTCCTTGAGCAGCGCGCCGGTAAACGCGATCGTCGAGGAGAACGTCGCCATCTGCGCGTTCCGCGCCCAGACGGAGATGGGCTTCCTCGCCGGCGGCGGCGCGTCGCGCGCGACGCGGCCCCGCGGCGGCGCTTTCGGCAGGGGCCGGCTGCGCTGCTTGACGACGCGCTCGAAGTAGACGGAGCTGAAGCCACTCGAGCAGCACGCCGCGAAGACCGCGGCGAAGCCGACGGCGAAGTTGACGCCGGGCTTGGGCGCCGACGGCCCCGTCGTCGCCGAGCCCACCGTCGCGAGGCCGGCCGCGAGGAGCGCGATGGCCGACCACTGCGCGGGCTTGAGCTCGCGCTTGAGGAGGACGACGCTGAAGAACGCCGTCGTCAGCACCTTCATCTGGTAGAGCACCTGGAAGACCGCGGGCTCCAGGTTCGACGCCGCGACGTACTGCAGGTTGTTCTGCACGGCGTAGAGCGCCGCGGGCACGAGGAGCACGTACGAGCCCGGCTCGGCGTACGCGTCGCGCGCGGCGCCGACGTAGCGGTCCGCGACGCGCGCGAGGAGGCCGCGGCCCGCCATGGCGGGCCGCGGCTCCTGGGCCTTGGCCGCGAGCGCCAGCGAGATGATCAGCTTGACGACCTCGGACATGACGACGGCCTCGGACGGGTGGTAGCGGTGCGCCGTCTTGCGCGTCCGGCTGTAGCGCATCGCGAGCGTGAGCGCGCTGTTCTGCACCATCAGGACCGCGAGCGAGATCGCCTTCGCGCGCTTCATTGGGGACGCGTACCAGGGCACGGCGGCATCGGCGCCGCCGCGGGCGGCAGTTGCTGACGTGCCCGGTTGCTGGCGTGCCCGCAGCGAGCTGCGAGTGCGCATATTTGGCAATGTCCTTGCTCTGGCTGCTGTGGCAAATAGCAGCAACAGCCGTAGGGCTTGCATTGGCTCGGAAACGGAGGCACTTAGTCTTGAACCATCGTCAAGTGGCCAGACGAGCAGTGAATCGCCGCAAGACCTTGCCGTCCGCCGCCAGCCTCGTCGCGGCCGCGAGCGCCCGCGCCGAACCGTCGCCGGCCTCGAACCGCCGCGCGCCACTCGTCGCAGTTCGCAGTTCGCCGCAGACCGCTTTCCGGCGCCGCGCGCCGCCGCCGCCCGGCGCCCGACCGCCATGCACACCTACTGGGTGCGGCTCAACGCCGTCTTCTTCTACGGGCTGAACGTGCTCTTGGGCCTGAGCGTCGCGGCCTGGTTTTCGTGTTTGCAGCAGGACCTGCACTTCAAGACGGAGCTCCCGCGGCCCGTCGTCGAGACGGTGCGCGTCAACGAGCTCTTGAGCCTCCGCGCGCACGGCGGCGTCGACCGCGCGCTGCTGAGCTTCGACCTCCAGGCGGACCTGACGCCGGCGTTCCACTGGAACCTGAAGCAGCTCTTCGTCTTCGTGCTCGCGGAGTACTACACGGAGTCGAACGTGCTCAACCAGGTCATCCTCTGGGACAAGATCGTCACGTCCGAGGAGGAGGCGCGGCTCGACGAGCGCAACGTCTACGTCAAGTACGCCCTCATCGACCAGACCAACGAGCTCCGCAACACGTCCGTCAACTACCTCCTCGTCTGGGACCACATGCCCGTGACGGGCCGCCTCTTCATGGAGCGCGAGACGGGCTCCACGTCCATGCTGCCCAAGGAGTACTTCTAGGCCCCGCTTCGTAACCCGTCTCACCGCGGCGGCAGGCACCAGGGCCGCGGGCGCCGGGTCCGCGCGGGGTCCGCGGCCGCGACCGCGCGCGGCGGCCGCGGCGCGAGCGCGGGCGCCGCGCCGCCGCCGAGGGGCCCGAGGAGCAGCTTGAGCACGAGGGAGTAGCGCGGCCGGTCCGTGCCCACGGGCGGCGACACGGCGTGGAGCGCGTCCTGGTCCAGGAGCACGACGCGGCCGGGCTTCGGGGCGACGCGGACCTCGGCGCCCGACGCGTCGCGGAACACGGTCTCCGCCCGCCACGCGTCGTCCCAGGCCGGGCTCAGATAGGCCAGCGCCGACACCCAGCGGGGCTGGCCCGGCGACCGGTTCACGTAGCGGCCGCGCGCGTCCGTCCACGCGCCCCGCGGGTGGCGCGCCGGATCCGCGTCGACGTGGAAATCGAAGGCCTCGCCCGCGACGGGCGCGTTGCCCGCGACGGCGGGGATGTCCGGCCCCATGGCCTCGCTCGGCATGGTGCAGACGTCGACGGAAGCGCCGTTGGCCTCGCGGAGCCAGGCCCGGACCGCGCCCGCGAGCCGCTTCACGGCGTCGCTCGCCGCGACGCGCGCCAGCGCCTCCGGCCGCAGGCCCCAGTGACCGCCCGTCTCGCCGGCGCTGTCGAAGAAGCGGCCCCGCGACCAGGTCCGCGGGTCCGGCGCGCCGCCGTCCCAGCCCTCGCCGCCGAGCTCCGCGAGCAGCGCCGCGCGGAGCGGCTCGTCGACGAGGCCGTCGACGACGGCGACCTCGGGGGCGTCCCAGCGCCTCTCCGCCCAGGCGCCGCCGGCGTAGCTCCCGGACGCGCCCGCGTCGACCCACGCGCCGTCGAGCGAGAAGTGGTCCGCGACGGCCGGGTCGACGGCGACGTCCGCGAACGGCGCGGGAATGCGCAGCCGGGCGACTTTTTCCGCGGCGGCGCCGAGGTCGCCGCCGCGCGCCACGAGCACGGGCGCGCCGCCGAGGGCGTCCGCGGCCTCGGCGATGGCCTCGAGCTCGTCGTCCGTCGCGGCCGCGAAGACGGCGACGCGGCGCTCGTCTTTCGCGACGGTGGGCTCGTAGTCGACGTCCGTCGCTTCGCGCGCGGCCGCGAGGAGCGCGGCGACCTCGTGGTCGCGGAGCGCGCCGCCGACGATGCACGCGGCGACGCCCGCGCGCCAGTCGCCCGCGGCCGCGCGGCGGCAGCGGAGCACGGACGGCGGCGGCGCGCCCCGGGACGACGCGCGCGTCGCCTTCGCCGGCTTGGTCGGGCCGAAGGCGCGCTCCGCGGCGGCCTCGAGGAGGGGGGCGTTCTGGGGCGTCCAGGCCGCGCTCAGGCCGCTCCAGAATTTCGCGTCGGCGACGGCGTCGAGCGCGCCGCGCCGCCGGCCCGCCGCGTAGTCCTCGAAGCTCACGCAGATCTGCCGCGGGTCGCCAAAGTAGCTCGCGAAGCCCGCGACGACCTCGTCGCGCGTGAAGCCGTAGGCCTTTTCCGCGGCGGCGACGACGCGTTCGAAGGCGCCGCGGAGCGTGTCGGACTTGGCCAAGGGCAGCGCGCCGAGGCCGCGCCACGTCGCCGCGCGCCGCTGCTCCAAGGGCCCGCCGCGGAACGCCGCGTGCACGAGCGGGCCGAAGCAGCGGCCGGGCCGCGCCGTGCGCACGACGACGAGGCACCGCCCGCGCAGGTCCTCGAGCACGGCGTAGTACTTTGGCGGCGGCGGCGGTGGTGGTGGCGTTGTTGGTGCGAGCGATGCTGTCGTCGGTGTTGCGGGTGCGAGCGATGCTGTCGCAGGCGCGTCCGCGTCCGTCGGCGCCGGCTCGGCATGCCTCATCCAGCCATGGGCTGCATGTCCATTTTGCAAAAGGGGATGCCAGCCTCAGGGCCAGCCTGGCCGGGGGTCTGCGGCCCGGGCGTGCTGTCAGCGTGCTGTGCAGGGCCTCGCCGCGGAGTGTTGGGCCTCCCCGCCGGCGTCGGCACCAGCGCGTTACGCGCCGTTCCTCGCGGACGCGCCGCCCTTACGCCCTTCGACGAGCGCGGCGCCGGCGACGGACGCGGCGACGCGCGGTTCCAGGTCTCGTCGACTTCCTCTCCGAGTCTGATCGCGGGCTGCTGCGCCTTGACCAGCCCCCTTCCGGACCCGCGCCGACGGCGGGACAAGTCAAGGTGCATCGCTTAGGAAGGCACGGAGCTTGGTCTCACATGCCGACTTCGGCGAAGGGCAAGGGGTCGACCGGGATGGAGGGGAGGAAGAGGCTGTCGTCGGGGACCAGCGCCTCGAGGAGGTGCTGGCTGATGAACTCCAGGTCGTGGGCCGAGAGGTCGTCGATGGACTCGTTGTCGTCGTCGCTGGACTTGCCGTCCTGCGAGTCGGAGTCCGAGACCACGTTGTCGTCGTCGGCGGAGAGGGGCGGGAGCTGGGAGGAGGCTTGATCGCGCGCTGGGGACACGATGCCGGGGAAGGTCTGCACTTTCGTCGTAGCCGCTTCTGGGCGTAAATAGGTGGGTTTAAAAGAACACTGCTGGTTCGATCTTGACGAGAGTGTAGCCGTCCGGCATCATGCCCTGTTTGAGGCGGTCGTTCTCGGTCTGCACGGCCGCCAGCTGCTGCTTGAGGGACTCAATGAGGTCCCGCTGCGACTGGTGGTGGCGCGCGGCCGATACACGATTCCGCTCCATGCGGGCTTTCTTCTGCGAGCGGGGAAAGGGGGTAAAATTGGGGGTTCGGGGGCGAAAACGTTCTTGTCAGCGGGAGCTCTCGTGCGAAGGGGGGCTCGGGGGACGGGCTCTCGACGGGCTCGGCCTCGCCGACGAGGTCGCCGACGGGCTCGAGCGCGCCGAGACCGGCTCGGGCTCGCCGGCGGCCTCGGGCGCCGAGACGAGCTCGGGCGCGAGGTCGCCGGTGGGCTCGAGCGCGCCGACGAGCATGCCGACGGGCATGCCGGCGGGCACGCCGAGGAGCTCGGGCTCGTCGACGGCCCCGCCGACGGGCTCGGGCACACCGGCGGGCTCGGCCGTGCCGACGGCCTCGAGCTCGACGACGGCCTCGAGCCCGAAGACGGGCTCGAGCTCGACGACGACGTAGGGGGTCGGGTCGGGGTGGGGCCCCGGCGGGTTGGAGGGGCGCTCGGAGATCCGCGGAACTCTTTTCGGCGAACCACAACCACCCGGAGGTTTTGGGGCTGGGGGGGGCCCTGGCGCTTGTGTGGCGCAGCGTGGAGGGGTTGGGGGGGGCGCCCGAGGTGTTGTGGGCGGCTCTCGTGGGGTCCCCGTATTTTTTTTTCGCGCGAAACCGCGCGAAACGGTTTTCGGGTTCGTCATCGATTTTTTTGCGGACGCCGGGCCGCGCCCTTTGCTCCTTTTCCTCGTCGTTGGGCGCAACGCGCTTCTGGTTGCCCATGGTCGCCTTTCGGTTTGTTCCGAGGTCGCGTAGCCGGTGTGAGGTTCCGACTACGTCGACGCAGCGGACCGAGGCAGGCGTCTCCGAGGAGCTCGCCGGGAAGGGCGACGTGACCGGGGTCGGTTTTGCATACGTGGAGCATGGTAGGCCTCAGCTGCAGGCGCAGGACGAGAGCCAGCGCTTAAGTTAGCGCCTGCCTCTCCGCCCTCCGAGCCCCCCCCCCTCGAGGTCCGCGCCGCCGAGACGATGCGCGCCGACCAGCGAGAATCGCCCCCATAGTCCATCGCGCTCTCAGCACCCCTCGACGCGCGCCGCGCGGGACCGCTGCCCGAGCGACGTCGCGCAGCTCGCCCACACCTCCGACACACGAGAGGGCCACCCAGTCCAGTTTAAAGATACCTCCTTAAAAAGCATCACCCTAGATCTCCCGGTTCAGGAACAGCAGCTTCGCCTTGCCGCCGCGGAGGAGCGCGGCGAGCCGCGGCGTCGGCTGCCCCCGCTGCTTCGCGTCGGCGATCGCGTGCCGCAGGAGCGCCGCGGCGCCCTCGACGGACGTGCAGGCGTCCAGGTCCGCGGGCAGCAGCGCCTTCTCCGGCGGCGGCGGCGGCGGCGCCTCGGCGTCGTGGAGCGGGTTTTTCGCCGGCTTCCGGCCCTTCTTGTCCGACGGCGACTGCTTCTTCGGCGACTCGAGCCGGGGCGAGTTCGTCCGCGAGCCCGGCGGCGCCGGCGCCTGCGCCGCGGCGTCGCAGAGCGCCTGCGCGGCGACCTTGGCGTCGAACGCGCGCGCCGCGGCCTTCTCCAGCAGCTCCCGCGCGGCGCGGGGCAGGCCGACGACGCAGGGGAGCAGGCTGCCGTCGTCCTCGCTCACCTTCTTCTTCTTCTTCCGCTTCTTCGCCGCGCCGAGCGCGAGGTTCACCGCGCGGTCGACGTCTGCGGCTTTCGCGACGTCCAAAAACAGGGGCGCGACCTCGTCCTCGTTGCTCCGCGCGCGGCGCGCGGCGCGGCCCGCGGCCGTCGGCCGGTCGCCGATGAAGGCGCGCATCTCCACGCTCCGCGACGCCTTGTTGGCGACCCGCGAGATGCGGCAGGCGTAGCGGCACAGCCGGACGCCCCGCAGCGCGAGGAACGGCGCGCTCAGGTCGATGAGCGCGCCGATGAAGGCGGCGACGACGATGACGTTGTCGAGGACGTTCTCTGGCCTGAGCAGCTCCGCGCGGTCGAAGGCGAAGCATCGCAGCGCGACCTCGCCGATGAACAAGGTGCTGATGCCGAGCTCGGCGAGGTCCAGCGCCGCGATCGTGCCCTCGGTCACCCACGGCAGCATCTGCCAGCCGAACAAGACGAGGTCGAGGCAGGTCAAGAGAGCGACGCACATCCAGAACGGGACGCCCTCCACAAAGGCCGCGACCTTGGCGCGGCTGCCCGTCGGCCGTCGGGCCGACTCGCCGTACGGGTCGGCGACCTCGCGCATCATCGCTGCGGCGAGTGCCGCGTTGGGCCGTTCACCGCCGGCAGCGTTTGCAGCGCGCACGTCGACGACCAAAACTTTGGCGGCTCGGACGTCGCGTCGCCGGAGCGCCGGCGCCGCGGCGGGGCCTGGGCCCCCCGCGACCGGAGGCCTCCGCGGGACGTCGTCGCGACGACCCTTAAAAACCATCACACCAGCGGCGAGAAGCCGACGCCCGGCCGGTCCCCCGCGCCGCGCCCCCCGGGCGTCGCGAAGGAGCCGGACACGTCGACGATCATGTCGTCGTCGCTGTCGTGCTCGTCGTCGTCGTCGTTCCACCGCTCCGCGTCGGCCTCGAGCGCCGCGAGCTCCGGGAGCGTGCGGCACATGGCCGCGACGGCGAGGAGCGCCGCCGCGGAGCCGAGCGCGTCGAGCGCGCCCGACGCGGCCGCGATGGCCCAGAGGAACGCGGACAGCGTCTGGGAACGGTCGTGGAACGAGAGCGCGGCGCCCAAGATCGTCGGCAGCAAGACCGACCAGACGACGAGCGACACGCACATGTCGAGGGTCTTCGCGACGAGCACGCGCGGCAGCTTCTTCAGGAGCTTCGTCGCCGTGAGCGCGCGGCCCTTGCAGCTCTTCGCCGCCGCGACGACGATCACGCAGGAGCAGAACCGCGCCGCGAGCACGCGTTGGAGCGCCGACGAGAAGGAGAACAAGCCCGACGCCGAGAACGCGTAGTAGGCGATCGTCGCGGAGAGCCAGAGCGCCGACGCGAAGAAGATGTGGACGCGCGTCGTCCACGCGAGCCAGTGGCGGGCCGAGACCTGGGACGCGCGGCGTAGGCTCGAGTCCGAAGCTCTCGAACGCGCGGCGTAGGCTCGAGTCCGAAGCTCTCGAATGTTATTTGCCAGGTCGAAATCTCTCGAAAATGCGGTGTGTTCAGATCTCTCGATAATGCCGTGTGTTTGCCAGGTCCACAAAGTCTCTCGACAATCGCCGTGCCGCGTATGTCCACGTTTTCTCGAGACGCCGGCACGATACCTCGTCGCTCGCGAACGCGTCGCCGCACCAGGCGAGGAAGAGGCCCCGCTCGCCGTCCTTGGGCCGCAAGGCCGCGCAGCACATGCGGCACCACTTGCGCAGGCGGCACCAGCGCCGCCGCCGCCGCTTCCGGTCGCGGCGCCGCGCGCGCACGGCGCCGGCGTCGAGGACGCGCATCGCCGGGGGTTCCTCCTCGTCGTCGTTTTTGATCTCGAGCTCGAGGGGCGCGAGTGTCGGGCCGTCGTGCGGCGTCACGTCCGTCGGCACGAGCATCTTCCGCACCTGGCTCGCCGCGCTCATCTCCTCTTTCGTCTCCTCGTCGCCGTCGCCGGCCGCGGGCTCGAGGACCATGGCGCGGACGCGCGCCGCGGCCGACGCGGCCGGCGCCGAGAGCTCCGCGCGGACGCGCGCCGCCGCCGACGCGGGCGGCGCGGCGAACGCCGGCTCCGGGAGCGGCGGCGCCGACGGCTTCGCGGCGCCGGCGAGCAGGTCCCGCACCGCGGACGCCGCCGACGGCCGCCTCGCCACGGGAAGCGGCGCGACGGCCGCCGGAGAGTGCGGCGGCGCGGGCGCGGGCGCGCCGGTGACCACGGTCCGGAGCGGCGCCCAGTCCTCCTCGGGCACGGGCGGCGCGCGGGGCAGCTGTCGCGGCGGCGCCGCGCGCCGCGGCGCGCGCTCGGGCTCGACGCTGCTCTGGGGCGTGAACTGGGCGGGGAAGATGAGGTGCGGCTTCTCCTCCGGCGACGGCGGCCGCGGCGCCTTGACGTCGGGCTCGTCCCAGCGCGCCGGCCGGCTCGCCTTGCTGTCGTCGCGCGCCTTGGGCCGCAGCAGCTTCATGCGGGGCAGCGGCTCGTCCGAGCGCGCCGCCGGCGACGCCGCGTGCGGCTCGTCCCAGCGCGCCGCCGGCGAGGCGAGATTCACGAGCGGGCTCTCGAGCGACGGGGCCGCGACGGCCGAGTCCTCGCGCGGCCGCGTCGGAGCGCGCGGCGACGCGTAGCGGGGCCGCTCGCCGACCGAGTCCTCGCGCGGCCGCGTCGCGACGCGCGGCGACGCGTAGAGCGGCCGCTCCGGCGTGTGCGCGGCCGCGAGGCTCGCCGGCGAGAACGGCTCGGGGGCCGAAGCGAAGAACGGGTTCTCCGGAGGAGCCACCCGGACGACGCGCGGCGACGCGTAGAGCGGCGTCTCCGGCGTCTCGACGACCGCGGGCGGCGCGCGGAGCGGCGGCGTCGCGACGGCCGCCGGCGCGTACGACGCGGGCGGGATGGCCGCCGCGGGCACTTCGGCAATGGGCTGCGGTCGAGGCGAGACGTAGCGGCGCGGCGTGTATTTCGGCGTTTCAGGCACTGACACGTCCGAGTCGGCGGCCGGCGAGGTGACCCATTGCTCCAGCGCCTTGGCAGCCTCCTCTAGGGCAGCGTCTTCGTCCATGCTACCGGTGCTGCCCGCGGCAACAACGAGGCACTTGCAGGCAAAGGCTGACCAAAGCTGACCAGTCAGGACTGGCATGGGCGCGCGTGGCGTGGGCATGCTCGCGCTCGCATGGCTGACCACCGCAGCAGCGCTCGTCGCGCCGCGCCGGCAGCTCCGCCAGCCGATGGCCATGGCCGCCACCGAGGTCGTGCAGTTCACGCGGGATTTGCGCGTCAACGACCACGGCGGCCTGCGCGCCGTGGCGGATCCGGCGCGCGGCGTCGAGGCGTGGGCGCCCGTCTACGTGGGCCGCGACACGACCGAACCGGCCGTGGCGCGGGCGCTCGGCGAGCTCGACGCCGAGCTCGAGGCGCGCTACGGCGCGCGGCTCGCCGTCGTCGACGGGGACCCGGAACGCGACCTCGCGCGCGTCTGCGAGGCCGCGGGCGCGTCCGTGGTCCACGTCTGCGCCGACGACCCGTGCTCGACGCCGTCCCGCGCGTCGACCGCGCGCGCGCTCGAGGCCGCGGGCCTCGACGTGGCCGAGTGGACCGCGCCGCTCCGGGCGCCCGCGGGCCGCGTCGACAGATTCGACGACTACCGGTCGACCCTCGGCGACGTGCTGGAGGCCCACGACGCCCCGGCGTCCATGCCGGCCAGCGTGGACATCGGCTTCGCGACGCCGCCGCCGGAGGCGCGCGCGGGCGCGTCGTCGTCCGCGCCGTGGTCCGAGGCCTCGCTCGCCTGCTGCGGCCTCCGATCGGCCCGGGACGCGCTCGACGCCTACCTGGGCCAGGGCCGCGCGGCCTTCGCGAACGCGCGGCTCTCCGGAAAGAAGGCGAAGACGACGAACTCGCTCTACGCGGCGTCGCTCGCGTGGATCGTCGGCGAGGGCGCGCCCGCCGACCGCCTCGCGTTCCGCGAACCCGCGGAGCGCGCCTTCAGCGAACCGCTGGCCCTGGGCTGCCTGAGCATGCGCGAGGTCCGCGGCGCCGCGGCGCGCGCCGGCGCCCTGTCCCTGGCGACGACCAAGGGCAAGGGCTGGCCGACGGTTTTCTTCCGCTCGGAGACGGCGCTCCTCGACGTCGTCGAGTGGAAGGAGTTCCACCGCCTCGTGGCGACGACGCTCGAGGGCGACCGCGGCGAGGGCGCGACCTGGTTCCGCTGGGAGGGCCACCTCTGCCGCTACCTGACGCTCCGCGACGACGCGGCGGACGGCACCCGGCCGCCGCTCGTGCTCGTGCACGGCTTCGGCGCGTCCGCGGACCAGTGGCGGCGCCTGGAGCGCGCGCTCCCGTCGAGCGCCGAGGGCGGGCCCGCGAAGGTCCTCGCCGTCGACATCCTCGGCTTCGGGCTCTCGGCGAAGCCGGGCGTGAGCTACACGCAGCACCTCTGGGAGCAGTACATCGCCGACTTCCTCGCCATGGTCGCGCCGGGCCCCGGCGACCGCGTCGTCGTCGCGGGCAACTCCATCGGCGGCGGCCTGTGCTCCGGCGTCGCCGCGAACAGCGACAAGGTCGCGGGGCTCGTGCTCTGCAACTCCGCGGGCGTCATCCTCGACGACGCGAAACCGGGCCAGCTCGACGTCAAGGACGAGACGCTCCGCGGCGACCTCAAGCCCTACGGCGGGCCGCCCCAGGCCGCCCTCGACGCCTTCGGCGAGGCCGTCATCGCGGGGCTCTGGCCCAAGATCCCCGAGCTCCTCGTCAAGTACTACGACAACAACCCCGCGAACGCGGACGACGCGCTCGTCGCCGCCATCAGCCGCGACGCGCTGGACCCGGGCGCGGCGAACGTCATCGGCTCCGGCGCGAAGCTCCCGCCCCAGCGGTCCCTCAACGAGGACTTTGCGGCGTACCGCGGCCCGATCCTCGTGCCCCAGGGCGCCTACGACGGCGTCACGGGGCCCGACCTCGCCCAGAAGCGCGCGCGGGACCTCGAGACCATCCGGCCGGGCATCGACGTGACCCTCCTCGACGCGGGCCACTGCCCCCACGACGAGACGCCGGACCTCGTCGCGGACGCCGTCGCCGCGTGGTGGCCCAAGGCCGTGGCGTTCGCCGCCGAGGCGTCCTAATCTCGCTCTGCGGTTCCTGGGGCCGGCTCTCTGCGGTTCCAGGGGTCGAAGCCGGCGGACCCCCTCCCCCGACGGGGTCGCGCCCCCCGACCGACGTCGTCGGTTCTTCGGATGCTTGGTACGAGGTTACGAACGTGGGGGTTTGAGCGCGCGCCTAGTAGTCGTCGCCGCCGCCGCCCTCCTCGCCGCCGAACATGTCCATGCCGCCGCCCATGTCGATCTCCTCCTCCTCTTCCTCCTCCTTCTTCTCCTCCTCGGCCGCCGCCTCACCGCCGCCGCCGCCGCCGCCGCCGCCGCCGCCGCCGCCGCCGCCGCCGCCGCCGCCGGCGGAGAAGAGCAGCTTCTCCATGTTCTTGCCGAGGAACTTGGACATGATCGTCGGCCAGTAGGCCTCGACCTCGTTGCCCGTCGCCGTGATGAGCTCCTTGATCTTGTCGCCCGTGAGCTCCGCCCCGGCGTCGTAGAGCGCGAGCGCCGCGTACGACGTCACGTACTCGTCCTTCTGGGCCTTCGTGAGAGACTCCATCCTGTTCCCGGGGTACGACAGCAACTACGTCGAGCGGAGTTGCCTACATAAAACGCCGCGGTGAGGGCGCTGTCCACCCGGAGCGCGCGCGCGTCGCGGCACGTCGTCGGAGCGCGCGCGCGTCGCGGCACGTCGTCGCGGCACCTCTCTCCCCGGCTGTCCGCCGCGTCGGCATGGTCGCGCGCGGTTCGCCGACCCCCAAATTCGCTGTCGGACGCCGCCCATAAGCGCACAGATTAAGTCGTCGCCGAGTTGAGAGCGAGCTGCCGAGCGCCGGGGGTCGAGGGCAGGGTTAGTGTCGGAGCACCGACGACGACCGCGCGGCGCGCGCGCGGGCGCCTAGTTCCACGCTCTACGCGGCGCCGTCCGCGTCGCAGCCGACGCCCCCCCCATTCGCGATGGGCACGAACACGATCGTGCCGATGCTGTCGACGAGCACCGACTCTGCGCACGTGCGCGTCGCGTGGCCGGGCTCACTGGCCGGGCACCATCGTCTCGCCCAACCCGGGAATGAAGTCGAGTAAATTCGGGTTGTTCGTCGCCGCCATGTGGGAGGCGACCTTCGCCACGACGCCGTAGATCTGCCTGTCGACCTTGGTGCGCATGTAGTCGCCCTGCGGCGGCATCGACACGTCCACTGGCAGCCTCAGGCTGAGGACGACTCGGATCCGGTCCCATGCGCGCTCCGCGGCGTGCTGGCCTACACGATCGCCGAGATTCTCCGCGAGGCGTACAAGAGCGGCGCGCTCTCACTGGAAAGCAAATACATCCACCACTTCGCGGCCAAGGACAAAGGCCAAACCTGGCACAAGCTCGTCGCCAAGGTCAAGAACAACTAGAACCTCCACCGCAGCCGGACGAGACGTAGCCGTCGCAGATAGCACCAGCAAGCCGGCAGCGACGACAAACAACAAACACCTTACGCCACCTCCGGCAGCTCCTCGTGGAACCACCCGGTACACGCGACGCGCGGCCGCGCGGCGGTCACGGGGAGGACCTCGTGGGGCACGGCGACGCTGTCGAAGATCACGAGCGTGCCCGCGCGCGGCGCCACGTCGAGCACGGTCTCCCCCGCCAGCGGCGACGCGCGCGGGTCCGCGACGGCGCCGACGACGGGCTCGAAGCCCGGCGGCGCCGCGTCGAGCATCCGCCGCGCGTCGTCGAACGGCGGCGCGACGGCGGCGTCGCCCGCGTAGAGCACGTGGCGCATGTCCGCGTCGTCGCCGAGGAACACGGGGCCCTCGGCGGCGCCGCTCGGCAGCCAGCCGACCTGGACGTCGCCGCCGCGCGCGCCGACGGCGGCCGCCGCGAGGCCGCGGCTCCGCTCGTAGCAGCGCAGCGCGCCGCCGTCGGCGTCCGCCCAGCCGTCGTTCAGGTAGACGAGCCAGGTCACGGACCGCCGCGTCGGCAGGCGCCAGCCCTCGCGGCCCTTGACCTCCTCGTGGCGCTCGTCGATGTGCCGTTTCAAGGACGCGAGCGGCTCGTACCAGTTGTACGTCGTCTCGTCGCCCGCCGCCGCGCCGCGCGAGCCGAGCGTCGGCCGCCCGAGGGCGCGCCGCGCCTCGGACCGGAGCGCCGCGAGGCGCTCGCCGAAGGCGGCCCGCGCGGCGACGTCGCCCGCGTCCGCGGCCCAGCCGGCTTTGTACGTCTGGCGGTCGCCCGCGGAGAAGCCCTGCTTCGCGCGCGGCTTGCCCGTGCCGGCCTCGTACAGGCCGTCGCCGCGGAAGAGGCCCTGGGCCTTGAGGTCGCAGGCGTCGGCGCGCAGCGCCGCGCAGAGCTCGGGCGAGAGCCAGTCGCGCTCGACGTGGACGGCGCCGCGGGCGATGCGGTCCCAGGCCGCGGTGCTCAGCTTTTTTTGCGGCGCGGCGACGCCGTCCGTGATGTATGCGAATGAGAGTGCCACGACAGCGCGCAGCATGCTGTCGTGCTGCGGCTGGTGGTTGCGGCGCCGGCGTCTGCTGCTGCCGGTCTCTGCAACCTCGCTGCAACCAAGCATCAACGAGGCCTTCAACGACGCGGCAATGGGTGATCGTCGCGACCTCTTCAGCGAGGAGCCCACCCAAACCCACCGCAAAGCTAGTTCGTTACGACGCCGACCGCCAGGTGCCGCCGCCCGACCACGCGCCGGCCGTCAGGCTCGCCATCTGCGCGGCCACGACGTCTACGCACGCGTCCGAGTCGCTGTTGACGAACGAGCCCAGGCCCTCCGCGGCCGCGAGCGCGGCCCAGTGCGCCTCCGCGGTCACGAGGTCCGCCTCCACGTCCATGTTGTTCTTCGCGCCGCGGCCCTTGAACAGGTAGAGCCGGTCGTCGTGGACGTAAAAGACGGCGGGGTCGACCGTGTCGAGCGCCAACTCGCACACGGAGCCCTCGGCGTCGGCGCCCGTGAGCGCGTACGCACAAAACCCGCCGAGGCGCGGCGCGTAGGATTCCGGCGACGCGACGAAGGCGTCGCGGTTCGCCGCGCTCGCGAACCAGTACGGAACGCCGTCGTGCGCCGCGGAGAACGCCGCCGACCCCTGGCGGTGCGCGTCCTCGGCGAAGTAGGCGACGACGTCGGCGCCGTCGAGCGCCGGCGCGTCGAGGCCCGCGCGGCAGCCGGCGACGGCCGCGTCGTAGCACTGCGACGCCCAGCTCGTCTCCAGGAGCTGCGCGTCGGCCGCGTACGCCGACGTCGCCGCGCGCGCGAGGGGCACGGCGGCGTACATGCCGCAGAGGCAGAGCGCCGCCGGCAGCGCGAGCGCGCGGCGCTTCGACGGCGCCGCGGCGAGCAACAGCTCCTCGTCGCCGTACTCGACGGCAGCCCGCGCCTTCGCCCGCTCGCGCTCCTCGGCGCGCCGCGTCTCCAGGTGCAGGAACTGGTCGTCCTTCTCCTCGTCGCTCTCCATGCTCTCGTACTCCATGGAGATGACCTTGCCCACGCGGTGCTGGCTCCAGTCGACCATGGCTGACATGCCGGCGGAAGCGCGCTTCCTGATCGAACCGGCGAATGGGCAACTTCGTAGCTCAACGTAGGCCTCAACGTCGCCGGCGGCACGCCAGGCCTGGGCAGCGGCAATGTTGGTACATCCCACACGGAACGTCCGGTCGAGCGCCGTTGGGGGCTCGGGTTTCTACAGGCTGAGACATCTGTTCAATGCGTTAAGCGATCCCTCCGGGGCAGCTGCCGCGGCACACGCCGTGCGATGCCGGCCATTTCGACCAACTGCGCGTGTCTCGGGAGGTAGCGGAGCTGGAGCGCCAGCGTCGCGGGGCGCGCACGACCGGCGCCCGCGCATCGAAGGCCGCGGGCACGTCGAGGACGTCGTCCCGGCGCTCCGCGCCGATCTCCGCGAGCGCGTCGGCGACGCGGCTGCCCTCGACGTCGGCGTGGGCGGCGAGCTTGGCGAGGACGTCGGCGCGCCGTGGATCTTGAGGAGCGCCGCGGAGGCGTGCGCGAGCGCGGGGCCCGGCGGCGCCAGCGGCAGGTCCGCGGGGGGCGCCGTCCGAGCGCGCCGCGGCGACGGAGCGCAGGGCCGTCGCGCTGTCGCTGAAGGGGTGCAGGAGCCGGCGCCGCGGGTGCGCCGCCAGGGCCGAGCTCGTCGACGCGCACGAGCGCCTCGAGCCGCAGCGCGCCGCGGTCGTCGACACCGAAACTGCGCGACGCCGTGGGATCACGACGAGTTCGCGCTGGCCCGGCGGCATGAGCCGCAGCCGTGCGGCACTCGTTCGAGATTAACGTCGCACGTGCGACCGCGCCGCGTCGACGACGTCGGGAAGTCGTCGGCCGTCGCGCCGCCGTTCCGCGGGAGCGCGCGGCGAACGACGGGCGGCGCTGCCCGTCGGCGGAGCGAAGCGCTCCAGTGTGTCGGCTCCGCTCCGGCGCGGCCCAGCGCGGCAGCGCCGCGTCGCGAAGGTTTGCTGCGGCGCGAGCTCAGCCGCGAGCTGCGTCGGCGCGTGACCACGATTGCAAGTCGATCTGCCCGTCGACCGCCGTCGCAGCTCGCGGTCGCGGCGCTCTTCGCGCGCGCGCGCGTCGACGACGCAGCCGGCGCACCGGAGCAGCGTGTGAAGGCCGCGCCGGGTCGGGTCGCGGGTCGGGCTGCGGGGCAGCCATCGCAAATGGCGGAAGTCGGGGAGCGGAATATAAGCTCTCCTTTTAGGGCTCAAACAGCCGACGTTGACATCGTTGCTCCTGAAGCACAACGTTTGGTCGCAGGTCTTTTCACGCGATCGCGCTCGCTTCCACGCACCGAAAATCGACGCCGACGCTACCACGCACCGACATCATGGGCAAGAACCAACGCAAACCGCACAAACAAGGCCGGAACACCCACCGTTCGGGTAAATCGGGTTCATCAAGCCCAGAAGTCGTCGTCGCCGACGACGAGCCAGTCGAGAAGCTTTGGCCGAAGAACCTCCCGCCGCCCCCGCCGGTCTTCGTCGAAGGCTGGGA